GGTGACCGGCTTTTTTTTGGGGGGGGGCTCACCGGTTTATAGAAAAAGTTGGCCATGAACTTCGGGGTTAGGGGAGGAGGGAGGGGAAAGCACCCCATTAATGTACTTCATGGGCCTTTTTTAGAAATACCTCCCAGCCCGTGTGTTTTTCAGCCTTTCAGATCTCTTCCTTGAAGAGTCCTTTATATATGACTTTATTAGAAGCCTATGTAGAGAACTGAGCTTTTTTTCTGCTGCACCAAACAGTCAGCCTGGCAGATGTTGTGTTTCTCTCTTCTTTGGGAACGGTTTAATGGGCAGGGTGTGCATAATATAGAAGTTACTGTCAGGCTGAGAGTGAAGGAATAAGCTACTGTGGGGGTGCCTGGTATGTTTCTGAATAGGCGAAGAATTGGTTTGTTACGGGGAGGGAACAAAGAGTTAGAGAAAAGAGCCACATTTTATGTACAGTATTTATATTTCATACGGACCCTTACTCCAACAGATAGGTTGGATCAAAGAAGTAATATTGATTTTCCATGAGACCACTTGGGACTTTTGCCTGATTGGAGGTTTGAACCTGGGTTTCTCCCTCCGATCAGAAGTTAGGGTGACCCGTGGCATCCGTCCTGTGGACTACAACTCCCATCCTCCAGCTCCACTGTCACCACTGGCTGGGACTTATGGGAGCAGTAGTCTGAAAACATCCCAGTGTGGGCTGAGATGCTTGTAGTTTCCATTGATCAAGGAGGGTATAAATATTACAAAATAAACAAAAACGATAGGGGAGGTGGTGTTTGATGAGTTGCTGTATAATGACGTCCCACTTTATTTAACGGGCCTGATAAGTACACCTAGGCGTGTAGATGTAAAGTGTCGCTTCAGCCTATACGCTCTGTAAGCTCTACCTGTGGAGCCTTTGAGCTCCCTTGAGGCTTATGTCGAAGTAAACTGGTAGAGTCTGCAACTGTGCCCAGTTCCCTGAGAATAAACACATTTGAACTTGGTGGGTTTTAGGCATATGTAGAGTTTTGCGGCTGGGTTGCAGCCCTATGTGTCCTTTCTTGAGAGTTAGAAGACCAGTGGTGATGCCCTCATGAAGACATGACTTGCACCCGTCACCCTCTTCACCCGACTTTCCCCGTAGGGTGGTTGTAGGTGGGAGGAGGACCGCGTATACCTTCCTAAATTCATTGGATCTGCATAGGTCGTGATAGAAACTAATAATAATAAACAGTTCCTGCTGTCAGTAAACACAGACTCCTGAAGAGCTTAGCTGTGGAGCCAGAGCCAGGGGTTGGAAGTTCGATTCCCCCCCCCCCGCCTCCTTGACAGGGTCAGGACTCCATGATCCATAGAAGCCAGCTCTGCCATTCTAAGATGATGATGATGATGCATTGTGTTGCAGTAGTTTGCTGTTAATACATGTGTACCGTTGAAAATAAGCAGCATTGCTTGGTGCAATAATGCAGGCAGTATCTTTAGCAACCTTTAAAAAAAAATTAGCCCGTGATATTTTCCTTTTCACAAAACATATATTCTCAAATTGGGGGGGGGAATACACTCTATTAAAAATAGAAATAGCGGAAGCATTTTGATGTTTTAAAAACAGCATCCTGAAAGAGAATGCCAATGTCTAGTAAAGACCACTCCTATGAAGCTAGTGTCAAACAGTGATGATTACAATGGTGGCTACCCTCAATTGGCATTTTTATTTGACTTTTCTCTGCAGCTGTTATAAAAGAGGGTTTCATCTGTATAGTTCGCTGACTTATATAAGATCTGAGTGTTTAGACCCTATGGCCCAGTGTGGCCTAGTCCAACTGGCAGCTTTGCTCCTTCACCGCGGAACTGTTTCTTGGCCGTTTTTCAGATTTTTCCGCCTTCCCTGACGGCCCGCTGTCTCTTGATTCTTCCGACAGGGGAACTGGAATCAACGCGAACTGCAAGAGGCGACAGGACCACCGGAGGCCTGACGGGCGAGCCCTCTGCATGCGCCACCTCCGTTGGCCTCCCTGCAAGAGGAGGTGGATTTTCCTCCGCTCGGTGGCCTTCGCCCTCGCCTCTCCCCTCAGTCATGGTGGGTCACCTGCAGCTACAAGGAATGGAAGACAGCCTAAAAGAGAAGAACAGAGAAGGCTTGCTGGATAGCCCCGATTCGGGGCTGCCCCCCAGCCCTAGCCCGCCTTTCTACTCCTTGGCTTCAGGAATTGTGGACAACAGAGCTGGCGGCAGCAGCTCTTCCACGGAAATCCCGGGCCACGGGCGCAGGAAGGATGGCAAAGAGGGGAAACTAGTAAGTCTTATTCTTCGGCTTTCCGGGTTCCCGAATAGGGCAGGTGGGAAGCTATATGTGTCCCCCTCAATGGAAATCTCTCCACCTTGTTTCCTTAAGCAGCTTATTGTTGTTGTTTAGCCATCAAGTCGTGTTCAACTCTTTGTGACCTCATGGACAAGAGCAGGCCAGGCCCTCCTTAAGCAGCTACCCTGGGCCAAATCACACAGCCGGTCCCTCTATTTCTGTGTTGTTTATGGTGACAGGGAGTGTCTCTGTGGGGTTTCAGGAAGAGATCTGCCAGCCCCACCTGGAGAAGCCTGGGATCAGATTTCAGACCACGTGTGTGTTCCAAGCGGCCTTCCCTGCTGCAGAAGCACTCTTGAAACGTTAGCTTGTGTTGTTGTTTAGCCGTTAAGTCAAGTCGTGTCCGACTCTTCGTGACCCCACGGACCAGAGCACGCCAGGCCCTCCTGTCTTCCACTGTCTCCCAGAGTTTGGTCAAATTCATGTTGGTCGCTTCGATGACCCTGTCCATCCATCTCGTCCTCTGTTGTCCCTTTCTCCTCTTGCCTTCACTCTTTCCCAACATCAGGGTCTTTTCCAGGGACTCTTCTCTTCTCATGAGATGGCCAAAGGACTGGAGCCTCAGCTTCAGGATCTGTCCTTCCAGTGAGCACTCAGGGTTGATTTCCTGCAAAATGGAGAGGTTTGTTCTCTTTGCAGTCCAGGGGACTCTCAAGAGCCTCCTCCAGCACCACAATTCAAAAGCTTGTGTAGGGATGTCCCGAAACATAGGTGAGGGGTTTTGTGCAGCTCAAAAGCTCACTGCTGTACCACATCAAAAGAAGCCGCTCACTAAAAAATACCCTCTGCCCCTTTTTAATAGGTCCGGTAAACCCAGTTTCAAAATCTCTAGTTTGCACAAATTTTAGTAGGTAGTTGATTATCGTGTGTTCTAATTCAACAATTCGCAGATGACCAGCAAGCCGAGAAAAGAAATGCAATGCTTTTTCTCACCTGTATCTGGTTTTCAGTCGCCCTAGGCAACCAGGCAAGTAATTACGATCTGGCTTATGTTGAATATCTATTCCAAGTGGCTTGCACCAACCTGTTACAGAGGATGCATACTAAGCGAAACCTTTTTTTAAAAAATATATATATAACAAGGTAGATCATTTTACTCCCAACAGAGAACATACCAAGAAGTAAAAGTTGCATTTCTAAAATCAGGTTGGAAGATTATGTAATAATAATACTATTAATAATATTAGTCATCGTCATCATCATCAAAAAATAATAATCTAATCTGAGGGAGTATTTTGCTGAATGAACCACCAGGGAATAAATTAAATTAAAGAAATGATGAATTCATTTCTGAACCAAGGGGGAAGCACAGTGAATTTGCCCCCTTTCTCACACATCCCTGATCGTTGTTTATCACAAAAGTCTGGAGCATACTTAAGTTAATTCTCCTTCAGATGACATTAAACCATTTGGCGTTACTTCTTTGGACAGGAAATTATTTCTGGTCCTATAGAATGAGAATATGAGAATGAGCAACTTTGAGTAAAAAGCACCACACACTTCCACTGCAATCTGGTGTACAGTTATGCTGTCGGATGTAGTTTTACTCTGGCCAAGTGAACTAACTCCCAGCAGAGTAGACCTGGGATTACCGGCTCCTCTGAATATAAACTGGAAATCTTTTAAAGCCTTCCCCCCCCCCCCCCGTTTTGCANCGCAGGGAAAGAGGCTGGGTTTCATAGAACCGGCCCTTTGCCAAGGACTCACTACCACCCCTAAGAAACTATTAAGTTCGCCCTTGGGCGAATCATTCCTGCAGGCCATTATCAGCCAAACGGCTTCCAGTTTTGCATCGCAGGGCAGTGAGTTTTGGACGCTGACCCAGAAAGCATGCTCAGAAAAGGTGGAAAAATAAAACCTTATAGGAGCAAAAGATCTGAAGCCATCTGCAAGGCCTGATTCTGGAGCGCCTGTGGAAATTTCAGTGGTGAGTGCCAGGACTTGCTCTGGCCTCAGCTGCCTCCTTTCACCCATTGCCAGATGGGGGCATATAGGCATGGCAGAAGCTCGGCTCTTCAGATTTTAAAACAGCACAGTGAATGTTAATCAGGGTAAGAATGGACCTGCAGCCTTTTAGAAAAATCGCTTCTTGCTTCTGGTGTATAAGTCAGCAGGTCCCAACATTTCCAAGTATTTATTCGGATGGGTTTATGCCTGGTTTTTCTGCTGTTCTACATAAAAGGATCTGGAACAAAATTTCACACTGCAGAGAGCTTCTTTTCTTTTTATTACTGTTCGAGAGAGAACGGCTGTCATTAGCCGCCCAGAGTGGTAGAATATACCAGATGGGCAGGATATAAATCGAACAAATAAAATAAAAAAATAGAAATTGCAGCTGGCTGGTTTGAAAAGTAAACAATAAAACAACAGCATTTGTTTTATTAAACAAAAGGACCATTAAAGTGTTAGTGGAAACATCCAGTGTCGCAACTGTTAAAACTTAAAAGGCATGTTGGAGCAGACGTGGCAACTTCATTTATGTATTTATTTCTTTTATTTCCATGCAACGTATGTCCCGACTTGTGCCTCAAGGTGGCTTGCAGTATACTTAACAGATAATACAAATGAAATTACTACAATGAAAAAGTAATGCATTGCAAGTAATGAAACAGAATTAAACCAATAAACATATCAAAAGATACAGTTTAAAACTGCTCAGAAGTGTCTCCGTTAAAATAGCAATTTCAAGAAGGCAATAGAAAAGTGTAGCAAAAGTTTAGATTTTGAAGGCATGCCTGACTAGGAAGGCCTTTTGTGTATTGGTTAGAAGGACCAGAGGGAGATGGGTAATGTAGTCCACTTCAGCAGGGAGTTCAAAATTCTAGGAGCGATTGTCTGGCATCCTTATTAATATGTTGCAACTATGCATTTTTTGCAGTGTTTTAGAATCCAGGAAGTTGAAAGTTGAACTATATGTTACAAATAATCTTTAATTAGAGGAAAGAATTCCTAGACTGCTAGTTGTGTGTGATCAACACAGCTGGAGCTTTTCTCGCTTCCTGTATCTTGCACACTAACTTGCTTTGGCTTCTGATTGGTCTTCAGGATGCAAACATGTTCTTCATTTGCATACCTGAATTCTCAGACCTGGGAGCCTGGTCTAAATCGTATCATTGGAACACGAATATGATTTCAGCTCTGATGATAGGCTATGTGTAATATATCAGCCATCCCCCGGAGAGGTAAACAGGGTGAGATGTCTTCCCAGAATTAACAGGGTATTCATGGGTGATGTAATCCAGCCACTTTGGGCAGCAGCGAATGCCACGTTTCTCACGAGACACTATTTTTTTTCCTATGCCTTAGGCACACTGCTCTCTTGAGACCGTGATCCAGCATGGCGTAACTCTGTCACCACCGGGAAGCGTTTCAAGAGCCTGATAGGACATTCCTAGATCAGTTTACCTCTGAAGTATCTCACAGTAGTCAGGGACTTTCACACCCTCATGAGACATAAATATCTGTTGCACGTCCAGAGGATGGCAAGCCTGTGTTTACGCAAAGTGAGTTGTGAAAATGTAGCACGGCTCAAGGCCAGCAGAACAAACCAACTTTTCCCTTGACGTTTGTGAGTTCTTCTCTCTGCTTGCCACCAACACAGGGGTCCACAAGAAACAGACGGCTGAGCAGAAGCATGTTATGGGTGTTTTGAAAGAAGAACCCACCGGTTCTTTGTGAGCCGTGGGGGCAGATTCATAGTACAGCTCCTTCTACTGGCCTTTCTGAGTCAGTGTTCCAAGTGTGGACCGACAAAAACCCAGAAGCCGGTTCTTATGACTTGTTCACTGCCCAGGTGCAGATGTTGTAGGCATTGCTAGAACCTTGATGTCCTTTAGAAAGAAAAGTTCCTAGTCCTCAGCATTGCAAAAGGAAATACTTTTACTTCTAAGCAGTCAGGAAATTTAGAGGGTCGTCTTTCGGTGGGTCAGGATGGAGGTTCTGTTGCCTGAATTGGCTGCCCTTACCTCCCTGGTGCCTCTCTCCAGCGTTGCCAGAAACCAGCCACGTTCCGCAGGATTATGCTTGAGAAGTAATGTTATGAAAATGTGCTTGCTTTCCCTAATTTATACTGAGTGGAGCGTTTGTGTTCCCTTGGCATGGATGTTGGTGTCTTTGGCATGGGTCTCCACCAGTGTTTTCGAACTCTGGCACAAGAGACCGCTGCATTGCTTGAATTTCAGGCCTTCATCGGTCGGTGGTTATTGAAAGAGTCGGTGGCATTTTGCCTTTAGAAGAGAGAGGGAGAGAACCAATCTAGACTAGCCAGATGGCACATCTAAAACATTAGAGCTTCCCCCCCCCCCCGAGTTGCCTTCAGAGTCTAAGGCTGGGTGTCACGTTCTCTCGCTCTCTTTCAGAGTGTGTCGTGCCTGCAGAAGAACTGAGAAAACATGTTGGCACTGCCCGTCCAGTGTGTTGTCTCTCCTCTCTACCCTTACCATGGGATGGGAGAAATGGTGGCCCTGCAGGTGTTATTGGACTCCCTCATCCCTAGCTGTTGGCAATGCTGGCGAGATGCGAAGGTCCCGACGTGACATCAAGAGTGCCGCAGGTTCCACCCTCCCACCATAAGAGGTGTTTCAGAGGCAACTCTCTACTTAACAAATTCCAGTGTGCTGTTCACCCACCCCGTGCCTTGCGAAAAGATCCATTTGTTCACAATGATGAAGAGGGCTAAATCAGGGATTTCAGAAATGAAGATCGCTAAGTCAAGGAACCGAGGTTGTCCTACTTTGGGTACATCCTGAGAAGGCAGGATTCTCTGGAAAAGGCAATAACGCTGAGAAATGTTAGGGGCAGCAGGACAAGAATATGAGATGAACGAACTCCCTAAAGAAAGATTTTGGAGATCCCTCGGGTGTAGAGTTACCGTGAGTTAGAGGTGACTTGATGGCAGATAACAAGAAATCAAGATTGCTCTCTCTCTCTCTCTCTCAATCTCTCTCTCTCTTTCTTTCCCACCCCCTCTCCCCTCCTCCATATATTTGAGCCAGTGATGGGCCAAACCAGTTCGTTTTTCATTGATGTGGGGGGCGGGAGGAGAAAAAGTCAGAAACATATGTGGAACAGGGAAGGGCTTGTTTGCTGAGCTCAGCAGGAGAGAGGTCTGCGGTTAAGTTTGGTTTGCCTCCTTGCGGGTCATTTTTTTTTTATTTTTAAAAAGAACAAAACTTGGCCTTTGGAGCCTTCTAAGCTGGGCAGGCTAAGCAGAGTCGTAGGGTGGTGGGGTGGAGAACAGGAAATATCCAGGAGAGAATGGTACGTAAAGCCATGCTTTCGTCTGAAAAAGGGATAAAGAAGTGAAAAAGAAGCCAGATTCCACCAGCAGTTCATTGCTTCGGTCCATTTTATAACCAGTTGGTGGTTAATTCCACTGGAATTATGTTGTGCAAAAGGGTATAATAGAATCATAGAATAGCGAAGTTGGAAGGAGCCTAGAAGGCCGCCATCAAGTCCAACACCCGCTGCTCAAGGCAGGAATACGAATCAAAGCAGATCTGCCAGGGGGTTGCCTAAGTTTCTCTTGAATGCCTCCAGTGTTGGAGCACTCACAGCTCTCGAGGTAATTGGGTTTCCATTGTCATACCGCTCTAACAGTTAGGAAGTTTTTCCTGACATTCGACTGAAATCTGGCTTCCTGCTTGATCAGATCAAAACTTGCCTGTTCCCATTCTGTTCGATTAGGCAGTACTGGGGTTAGGACTTTTAAAAAGCAACAGCTGATTGTCTGAATCCTTTCTGAATATACATATTGTCTAGAGAGGTGGGGTAAAAATCCAATAAATAAATAAATAAAAATAAATATTTGCTGGCCTTCCCAGTATTGGAACCGCCTAGGTGCTGATTGTCTGCATGCATTCCAGAGACAGGTATTTGCTGGTCTTCCCAGTATAAGGACAGCCTAGACTGGTGGTGATGAAAGCTTTTTGGAGGAGAGATTTATTGGTAGTGGAGGCCAACTTAAAGGATACTGTATGGGAAGAGCACATGCCTTTGGAAATAATGTTCCAAGGCCTGGCATATTTTAAAAAATCAGCTCATGTCCGCGTCGCTATCTTAAAAAGTTTTTGTGAATTAATATGAATTTATAAACATACCACATTAATCCTCCTCCTCTTAGAACTGCAGAGGTGGAAGGGACCTTCTGGATCAATTGAGTCTGTCCCCCTGCCAAGGAGGCACAGTGGGGAATCGATCTCCCAACTCCTGGCTCCCGCAGCCAGATGCCTAAACCACTGAGCTCTCCAGCAGAGGTACACATTGGCGCCGTGTTTCAGTCTGTGCGCTGGTTGGCTCGCTGATCGTGCGTGTGAAACCTGTGGGACTGGAAACTTTTCAAAAGTGAAAGTTGTTCATGAGGACTAGGGTGCTCGTGAGCCTGAAAAAGATTTGCAGCGGTATCTTTGCTTAAAATTCATGGCAGATGGTACTGTAAACATTTCAGCAGCATTCTAATTCCTGATGTGTTTCCTTTCTTCCCCCTCCCTCCTCACCCCGGCCGCCCTCTTTAGATCCCTTACGTTCTCCTGAATGCCTCCCCATCAGAAATAAGGCCACGAATGTATCCTGTGTTCTTTGGAGAAAGCATAGAGGTCAACCCTGAACCGGCGCAAGAAATTAGGTAACATGTGGATTTCCTTTTATGTTTCCTTTCTCTTTCCTTTCTGTCTCCTGCAAAAGATTAGTGGTGTTTATGAAGCGGGGTTGGGTGGCTTTTTTTAGCTGGAAGTCTGGGTGGCGGCATTGCTGAGGGGTGGGGGTGGGAAGGGGTAGTGGGGAATGGTTGACATTAAAAAGAATGAACTGGGAGAGTATAATAGAGGAAGGGGAGAAGGAAGAGGGCTTTGCCTCTTCATCTCTGATTTGAGGCAGAAAATTGTTACCAGCTGGAGAGTGACCTGAACTAACATGAATTGGTGGTCTTCGCTCAGCTCTCACTGGGTGTAAGAGTCATTGAAAAAATGATGTTGTTAGAAGTTGAACTTGCTTGCCAATGATGTCCAGGGCATCTGCCGTTGAGTCTTCCATTTCCAGAGCTCAACCCGTTGACTAGGAAAGTAGAGAGGGCCCTTGGTGAAATTTTCAAGCCCCCTTTCTGAGTCCGGTTTTCGCCATGCTGCCTTACAAAAAATAATAGCTACAGGGGCCGTGACAAAACACGCTGAACCTCGGCCGCTCCTCACCTTAACCCTCCACTCCCTCGAATCCATTTCTCAGACTCTGCTTTGGTCGAGCACCCTTAGAAAGCAGCCTATATTACAAGGTTGTAATAAGGATGCATTTATTTCATTTCATTTCAATGTAAAATATTTTTATCCTGCCTTTCCCCTTAAAAAGAACCCAAGGCGGCTAAGAGTTCTTAAGGCCATCTTTGTTCAACGCGAAGGTACCACAATTCAGGAGACACACAGCCATTCTTTGTTCACTCTGAAGACGTGTCCCTTTAAACGCTGCAAACGTTGCTTCGCAACAGAGGTGGAGTGGAACCATCCTGGCGGCAGCATTAGGCGGCGCTGCCTCCCATTCAATAGTATTCTGTCCATGGCGTCCGGTAGGGCTGGTCATGGTTATTTAATTGGCCGCACCCTCTGATCAGAACAATCTTAGAAGAACCTCTGACCAGAAGCCACCTCTGGGCGACCCCTTTTCTTGCGGGGCCAAGTTGTTGTTAATAAAAATAAAAGAAGCAGCGGCAGGAATATGCCAGTAGCTTTCATGGTCCTCCAGATATTTGCTAGCTTCAGAGATTCGTACCCCATGGAGACGGAACGGAGCCAAACGCATCTCCGTCTGTGATCTCTTACAGAACCATCAGTATGGAACGTGGGAGGTCCTTTGTCCGGAAAAGCTGAACAAAAGGCAGTGGCGGGAAGCAGAGCAAGGGGAGGGGGAAAAGGCAGGGATAGGGTTCACCATGTCTGTGCTTGTGCAACAGAGATCAAGTGGAAGGTTTTTTGGGGGGGGGGGGAGGGAGGGAAGGAAGCAAGAGGAAAGCAGAACTGCCAGAGGAAGAAATCAGGGAAAGCAGAGAGAGGAAAGCAAAAGAGCCGAGGAAAAAGATGAGGGAAGCAGCCAGCACAGAACCGAACCACTGAAGAGAAGTTTGAGGGAAGAGAGAAAAGGAGAACAAAGCCGTGGAAGGTGAGGGAAAGCAAAGGAGGAAGCAAGGGAGCCGAGAAGAGAGCAGCAGAGCAGTGGAAACTGCTGAAGACACCAGGCATGCCATCGCAACCATGCCAGTTGCAAAACAAAAGTAATGGGATCTGCTAAATGCAGACTCTCATTGGTATAAATAGATAGTATTTTTCTCTGAAGGGTGTCTTGCTTCTAGATGTGGAATCAGCGTCTTGTCTAGTGAGGCCCAAAGAGGAAGGGGAAAGAGACAGACAGAGAAAGAGAAGGCACCCTGAGAGGAGTGGCAAAACTCAGCAGCAGAGGGACAATGAAAGGGGCTGTCATCATCCTAATCATAGTAAACATTGGGCTGTGTAATTAACTATGGTTTAGGGTTTACAATATTTGCATTTGGGTTTGCATAGTCATGTCTGCTGTTTGAAGAACGATGTTCTTTATGGAAAAGCCCTGAAGCTAAATAAACATTTTAGATCCATCCATTGACTCCCAAATGTGCCCAATTCTGTCTCTAAGGACCAAATTTTTTAAAAAATTACAAAAATTCATGGAAGGTGAAGGATTTTGCCTGGCAAATTTTGATGCAAATTCTAAAGAATTCCAAGGGAGGCCAAGACAGCTAGCCGTGTTTCTCCATCAGGGTTCGGCCGCGTCTGGCTTGGGACTGTGCAGTGTGCTCTCCAGTTCTGTCCTCGCGGTTGCCAGCGTGTCCTTCCAGTGCCAGGAACCACTGCCGCTTCCTGCTCGCTTCCAGCGCGCGCCCAGCGTGCACACGCAGGCACAGATGGACCTACCATTTGAACCTTTCTAAAGAGTAGCTTGAGAACTCTCCAAAGACATTGGCAGCTCCTAGGAAGGATGTTTTTTCTATTGCCATCAGAGGCTCCCTTTCCTCGGCACCAAACCGTTTTTGCTGGCCTCCGCGCCGAGCTGTGCAAAACTTATTAAGCAGATTGAGTTACATGTGCCGCTCCATGGGCCAAGCCTCCTTCAGGGTGTTGGCAAATGCCGCACGCCACACCCGGCATTTAATCTTTTTATACACAGGGCTGCAAATTCCTCAGCTGCTGTTGGTTGTGCCTCAAAGATCTGGAAGCAACAAACCATGCAAATCCCCCATGGCAACCTGGCAACTGTGAATACTCTGTGGGTCCCTCCAACTTTTTTTTTTTAATTTTGGAAGACATGTCTGCATTTCACAGACTATAAAGGCGGCTGCTTTGGGATGGGTGTGCAGTGGATAGAGGCATAAAATAACCAGGTCATTTCTAGGCATTGGTTTGCAAAATCGTCTTTGTTGTATGTCCTGTAGAGCCTTTGTGGCACGTGGTTGAACTGCTGTCCTGCAGCCAAAACGGTGCTAACGACCCAGGGTTCAATCCCAGGTAGCCGGCTCGAGGTTCACTCAGCCTTCCATCCTTCCGAGGTTGGTCAAATGAGGACCCGGCTCGCCGGGAGGACAGTGTGTCGCCTGTATAATTAACTGCGTGGACAGGTGCTTCCTGGGGCTCATGGAGTTCTGGAACCTCCTGCCACAAGATCGGATGAGAGCATATATTTAAATGCCTTTTGTGACCAATGAGACAGGTTCATCGAAGGACAGACCTACCAATGGCTACGGTTATGCTGATGGCTTGTAATCTTCCAATTTACAGGGAGTGTATGTGATAGTGACAGTTACTGAGGGACAACAATGTGAGAAAGCGATTGCTTTAATGTCCCATGGCTTCTGAGTGACATCTGGTTGACTCCTGTGGGAAACAAGGTGCTGGACCGGATAAGCCTTTGAGGTTTTGACTTAGCAGGGTTGTTCCGATATTCTGATATTCTTGCTGTTTAATTCTCCCTGCTCCCCCCTCCCAAAATTAAAAATCTTTACAGGTGCAATTCTGAGGTAAAATATGGCTCCGAGAGGCATTACCGAGATGACATCTTCTATTGCCCGATGCCCACCGTCACCACTTACCGAGAGACCATCATTGCTGCTCCCAACTGCACGTGGCGAAATTACAAGTCTCAGCTGATCTTTGAGCCTCGCCAGAAGCCGTTGAGGTTCCAGAGCACAACCATCATCTTCCCCAAACATACCAAGAATATTTACCGGACCACACTCAACTACAACCTTGGTTCCGCTAAACGATGGTTTGCCTCAAGCGTCCAGCTGCAGCTCTGTGAGGAGAACAGCCCTTGCATTGTCTACACGGAGAACCTTTAGTGAAGTCTTATGTCTACTGATGAAGCCTAGACTACAGGCTTAGGCCTGCCCCCAACTCTAGAAGATGATGCCATTGAAAGCTTACAATTCTTTGGTTAAGAACAGCTGTTGAACGGCACCGGGGTTAAACACACAGTCTTGGATGTAAACAGTACAAATAAACGTTTTCTCCAAGAAAAAGCCAATGGAGGTATTTCCCCGTGCATGAAGCAGCGTAAACTGGGGCTTGATTCTTCTCAGTCTTGGATTCAACCTGTTTAATTAGCACTTAAAATGAACTCTTAATGGTGAAAGCTCTCCTTTTTTTGGCTGTTAAAAACAACCTATGCTGCTTTTTTATGTTTTGGGGGTTGTTCTCTCCTGTATGTA